AAGCTCTGTGCTTCTTTCAAAACATAAGCTTATTTTAATTTCAAGGTGATTGTACACATTACTCTACCTGGGATAGTCTTCCCCTATATTTTGCCTTTTCTTCATTCTCACCCAGGGAGGGCTTCCCTAATTGGCCATCTAAGGTAGCAAAACTCTGTCAATCCAGTTTCCTTTTTCTGATATTTTTCTTTATTTCTCTTACTTTTATTTATTACTTTTATTTATAATATGTGTTTATACCATGTCTCCTTCAATAGAACCAACATGGCCCAAAGAGAAGGGAAGTTTTCTTTTTGGTTACTGCTATATCCTTGGTGTCTAGAAGAAAATCTGGTACATAGAAAACCTTCAAAATCATCTATTGACTAAATGAAAAAATAGCTCAGTGAGGTGGTTAATGTTGTTTTCCCCATTTTACAGATGAAGAGAAGTCATTTGCCCAATATCAGACAGCTAATGGATAGTAGATTCAAGATTGAACCTCAGCCATTTGACACAAGAGCTCACTCTCAAGCCAGAATTGCTTTCTTTTGCACATGATGTAAATGATGTAAGGTCCTCAAAAATTATTGCTAAACACAAAATTTCGCAAAATGACAATCATGTTCTGTTATGTTAGTGGATCAAATAAGTAAAATGTACAATCATCAATGATGATCAAATTAAACAATCATCATGTATGAGTTCCACACAATTATGCATTTTAAATAATAGAAAATTCAACAATATCTTGTTCAAAGAAGAAATGAAAAAATACTCAGGAAATGTCAGAATTTTTAAGAATGTCTACTGTGTAATAACAATTTTCATCCATGAAATATTAATGGAATTTCAATAAAAAGATAATGTGTGCATCTTTGCAATTTTGACTCATAGTCTCTCTTGTAAAACCTGTCTGCTGAAATGAAAAGGCAACTATTGAACGATCTTACAAATTACAAAATGAAGCTTTGGGTGACCAATTTTTAGAATGCTAACCTTGGACACAGCCATAGGAAACAAGAAAGCATAATGTAATAAATAATGATGCACATGTACGGATACACATACTTTAACACAAGTATGAAAAATAGAAGTTTCACTTTAATGACACATTACTCTGTTTTTTTTTTCTTTTCTGTTTCATAAATGCTATTGTTTAAACAAAACAACAATAAGACTAGTTAACAGTGGCAAAAGTAGTCATTAATAGTAGGACAAATTATATGTGTGAAAATATATAATAATACTTGTATAATGCTTCTTTCTGCCATCTACTACAGTCATTTAATTCTTCTTAAAAATGTTATTGTTTTGTTAAATTTTATTGGCTATACTATTGTTCATTCTTAACATACATGAGTATAAGATTTGATTCAAAAAAGAATGCAAATAAAGCAGGACTAATTATGGGGACATTACCTAAATTTGGTGAAAACAACAATAATTTGCTTCATTCTATCTCACAGTACAGTACGATATTTTTAAACTTTTTGTTTCCCTTTCTATTAATTCTTCTCTACACTGCCTGCAGCCTTCAGAACTTTCTTTTTTTCTTTTTGTGTAGTGATTAAATAACACCCAATCAAACTTAAAATTTACTTTGACTTGCAATTCTGCTCTTATCAATTCCCCATTAAACTGATTCTTAGTGTCAGACCAAGGTGATAACATTGATATCCTTTCAAAAAAAGCTTTTAAGCATGGGTTTTACTTACTAGTAACAGCAGATTTTTGTTTTGTAGGAATGGTTTCTATGTCTCCAATAATGTCCATCCAGTTTCTATCTATAAGCTTGTTTTCTCTATTTTCTCCTTCAGATCTATAAATTCATCATATAGGCTGTCCATGTCCAAAATTTCTGGAATTTTAAAACACTCTGAGACTTATTGAATGTCTTCATATATAAAATCTTTCTCAGGAAAGGTGTTTTTAAAGCTCAGAGAAGATTTGAACTTGCAAAACTCAAGTTGAACTCTATATAAGTTATATTTTTAGTAGCAGCATCAAGAAAGTTCTGGTAAACTTGGCTGCCCTTTGCTGATGATTTCTTTTCTCTTGATTTCTTGAACAGTCATTTCCCAAAAAACAATCAGTCATTTTTAGCTATGAGTTTTTGTTTCAACCTACACATAACATTGAATAAATCAGGTTCAGTCAGTTCATACATCCCTAAGCTCTGTATGGTCTCTTCAATGATCTTCAAACATATTTTGAGAAACAGCATATTCTGCTTCACTGTAATCATTTCTCCAGTCTCATCTTCAATATATTTCCAAATATGAGATGGATATTCTTCTTGATCCACACTTTGAAAATATTATTTTATAGGTTGGCCTATATTTAACATCATTTCTGTGGTCAGTGTCAACAACAGCCATTTTGTAGATCTATTCTAATTATAATCTCATTAGGTATTTCTGCATTATTTGAGAAAATTAAAAAGTGACCACAAAGTTTCATTAAGTAAGCTTCAAAATGTCAGGTGAGCAAATCACACCCTCCTTTTTTAAGATCAGTGTTGTGGACAAATTGAGCATGGCATTTAGCATGGAAGATCTTTTCATTTCCTTTGGCAAGAAGTTTGTAGACTGAATGGAATTTGCCAAGTTTTACATTTACTCTGTCTTTGTGATATGTATATAGATGAGCAAAGTCTAGGTTATATTTGGACAAGATATCAAAAATTATTTCTTTTATGTGTCTGTGGTTTCATTAAAATCTTTATAGCCATAGGGGCAAAATAGGGGTAGGGCATTAAGAGGTACAGCTATATATGTACAAAATAAGCCACAAGGATATATTGTACAACGTGGGGAACATAGGGAATATTTAATGATGACTATAGATAGTGTGTAGCCTTTAAAATTGTGAATCACTATACTGTAAGCTGTAATAAATAATATTGTATATCAACTACACTTCAATTAAAAAATTTTTAGAAAATAGGATTCAAGAGGACAGTCTGAAACTCCACTTTCATACCAAAGTTGCTGTGAATTGATGCATTGATCAATATACTGTAGAAAGCATGATTTTGGTAAGACCTAGCAGAATCAGTGCTACATTGTAAGGAATCAATACACCTATGATCAAACTTTCCCTTTTCTACATCTTCTTTTTCATCACAATTTCTGAATTTGGATATGTAATTTTATTCAGCTTCATAAATAGATTAAGGGAAAGAAATGACGATGTTTATGTGTTCAGTGTGGTATGCCAAAGGTAATTCAGCTTTCCCTGCTTTCAGGTGGACATTGGTGGCATTTTGAAAAGTCTTTTGATGGCTTTCACATCTTCTTGTCCACCATGCCTGACATAAAAATATTTTGTACATTTTCTGTAGTATGTTCTGTTTTGGTTATTTACCTCTCTAATCCAGTTTCTATCTCTCATTAAAATAACAAAAAGGCCTTCCTTGGGATCATACTGGCATTAGAATTACAATCATTTTCATATTCATTATTCGATTCTGAGACAACTTGATTGCAATATTCACAATGTTGAAAGCTAAACTAGCACTATTTCAATTCAAATAAGAATTGATGCACACTCAAAGTAAAAAAAAAAGATTGTTAGTAATCAAGATAACAATATGTTTGAATTGTACAATTTTACAGTAGATAATTTGGCTATTTTCTACTTTTTGTCATTGAAATCAGTGCAGCAAAGAATAAACTTGCACAACATCATTTCCACATCTATGTGCTTACCAGTTTACCAGTTTAAATATGTACCCCCTAAGCCA